TGTTCGTGTTTTTGTAACCATTGAGCTGGGGCTAGGGTGACCAGATGTCCTGATTTTATAGGGACAGTCCCTATTTTTGGGTCTTTTTCTTATATAGGCTCCTATTACCCCCCACCCCAATTGTTCACATTTGCTGCCTGGTCACCCTAGCTGGGGCTCTAGTACTGTGCTTCACTGACAATAAACCTGGCTGAGCACCGTCGCCACCAGACAGAATCTGTGATCTTTCTGGGCAGTTCCATGGAGGTCTGCTGAGCCAGCCACCTGCCCAGAACCAGGCCAGCACATGAAGAGAACACGCACGCACCCCAAACTGACAGCACTGGTAACCTATCGTTTATTATTATAAGTAGTAAGTCCTTGGTAATGTTCTATATTATTTAACCTCCTGGTGCAATTTTGGGGGTTTCCCTTTCAGGTTCTAAAAATTTAAAATCATCCTTTTTCTCTTGGTTTGCCTCTGCCTCTCCTCATAGTTAGCATAGCCTGACCTATCCGGCTCACTGCAAATTAGCATCATGAATAGGATAGGAGGAGTCCAAAGCAGGAACGAACCATCTTAAAAGAACATGAGTCAGTCAGGAGAGAATGCAGGAGGAAGGTCAACTAGGGGACACAATTTCCACTTGTGCAGACAGCCCAACCATGCCTTATTTCTTTGGAGCACTCCAGTTCCTAGATTTCCTGGAGAAAACTATGAAAATGATGCTGTTTCGTTTGGTGAATTTAAGACAAGGCTTCAGCCAATGTTTAGATCGTATGAACTGCTGGAAAGACAGGAAACAGAGAATCTTTTGGGGCAAATAGGGAGCCAGGAGGAAAGTGCCGACGTGGCCAGAAAATGAAAAAGGGAGCATAGAACAGATCTTTAGAAGGCTAGGCTGTATGTTTGACACTCACACCTTGTCGGAACTGAAGAAGAAGTTCTCCAGAATACAGAGTCCAGCAGAGAGGCTAAGGGGATATGCATTGGGATTACAAGAGGCTTTACAAGCAATAGAAGAGTTAGAACCAGATGAAGCCCGACATATGGATAAAATGTTGAAGGGGAAATTTGTTGAGGTGTTATATGAGGATACTTTACGGAGGGAACTAAGGCTGTGACTAAGACAGAATCCCAAAATTTCCTTCCTAGGCTTTAAGGAGGCTGCTATAAAACTTCTTGGAGGTGAAGGATCAGACAGGGCAATTGTGGTGTTTGTGTCCATAGCATGGCTGCAAATGTGTCATTGCCTTGTAACCTTGGAGGTGCTGGGTACTTTGTGGGGCAGGCTGGCCTGATGTCAGAGAATGGTAATTCTGGAATGGAAGACCCTTTTCAGAGCCAATTTAAAAGGGAGACAGAGGATTTGAAGAAAACACTCCTTGACGACAGGAGAGAAATGCAACATGTGAGACTGAATTTGAAACAGTAGCTCCTGGGACCCAGAGAATACAGACGCAGGCCAAGGGGAGTCGGAATGGATCATAGGACAATTAAGAAGTTTGGTCAGGATGGTAATCTTCTCTCCAGAAGATGTGGTGAGATGGAACATATAGAAATGAAGTGCATGCCTAGGACTACTAATGTCATGGTTTTAAGCACAGTCTCCCGGATGGGAGTCTGGATCTCAGGGAGACAAAGAGAAGACCTGAATGACATTAAAGGGCACACTACTGGTGTGGGAAGGTGTACGACAGGCTACGGCTAATGGGATAGAAATGGGAGTGAGGTGGAGTGGCCTCCCACTGAGCCTGGGGGGAGGGAGAGTGGGGAGGGGAGCTGCTCTCTGATCCCTGGTGGGTGGTTCTAGGGCAGGCTTGCCCCTCCCGCTGGAAGATAAGGGGTGGGACAGGAAGTATAAAAAGGCGAAACCTCTAACCCAGTTGAGTGAGCAAGGGAAGGGAGCAGACGTCTCCAGGCTGCTGCAGATCCCCAGAGTTGAACCTGTGCTGCGCCACACCTTGCCCCTGGAGGAGACGGACCCAGGTGACAAAGTGCCAGGACTGCCACACGCCTTATATCCCTAAGAGAAGGGAGACCACCCTAAGCCGCAGGTACATTACACTGGGCGAGTCGGAAGCAGCCTAGGGCCACTACAGTCTGGTTGGGTGGTTGCCTGAATCCAGGTCGATGTGTTGTGGTAGGATCCCTGCTGACCTCGTGGGTGAACCCTCTGCCACTGTTAGGGCCTGGGCTGGGACCCAGTGGAGTAGGGTGGATCTGGGTCCCCCTACCCGCAGCTGTCAACCTCACCCTTGGGGTGGCAGCCTCCACACCTTAGGCCAAGAGGCCTGTGTTTGTCTGCTGACTGCCAGAACCAGGACGTCAGACTGTCTGTTTGCCCAGCCCTGCCTAAGGGCCTAGCCTGAAGACTGTAGTTTGCTCTGCCCTACCTGAGGGTTAGAGCTCTAATCCCTGATAGGGGGCGGGACCCAGAGAAATACCCAGTTTCCCACTACAGTGTACCTTGCTAGATACTAGGTCTCAAGTCACCCCCTTACAGGGCAGACATTTCAGGAAACACTGGACACAAAAAAGGTTGTCAACTACTAAGAACAGGATGAAATTGGTAGCAGAAAACTGTTTGGCTATTCCATGTGTTGTGAATTTGGAAGCTGAAATTGGAACTACGAAATATTCAGATCAGGGTATTTTTATTAGCAATGTCAACAGTGATTGTTTACCTCCAGCAGTCATAGGTATGAATTAAACGGAAATTAAAAAGGTACAGTCATAAAAGTGCAATGCCTGCAAACTGCATGGAAGCTTTTTAAAGACACCATCATAGAGGCTCAAATTAAATGTATACCCCAAATTATAAAAACATAGTAAAAGGACTGAAAAAGAGCCACAGTGGCTAAACAATAAAATAAAAGAAGAGGTTAGAGGCAAAAAGGCAGCCTTTAAAAATTGGAAGTCAGATCCTATGGAGGAAAATAGAAAGGAGCCTAATTTCTGGCAAGTCAAGTCTAAAAGTATAATTAAGCAGACCAAAACAGAATGTGAAGAGCAACTAGCCAAAAACTAAACTAAACAGCAGAGAAAAATTTCAGTACATCAGAAGCAGGAAGCCTGCCAAACAATCTGTGAGGCCACGGGACAACTGAGGTGCCAAAAGAACAATCAAGGATGATAAGGCCATTGTAGAGAAGTTAAATGAATTCTTTGCATCAGTCTTCACTGCAGAGGATGTGAAGGAGATTCCCCACACCTTAGCCATTCTTTTTAGGTAATAAATCTAAGGAACTGTCCCAGATTGACGTGTCAGTAGAAGAGGTTTGGGAATAAATTGATAAGTTAGACAGGAATAAGTCACCAGGACCAGCTGGTATTCACCCAAGAGCTCTGAAGGAACTCAAATATGAAATTGCAGAACTGTGAACTGTGTTTTTTTTTAAAAAAGGCTCTAGGGGAGATCCTGGCAATTACAGGCTGGTAAGCAAACTCTTTTGCTTCAGACTTCACTAAAAAGACCAAACCAGATACTCAACACAACTAATATTAACAAGGGGGAAGGAATGCAAGCCAAAATAGGGAAAGAACAGCTTAAAAAACACTTAGGTAAGTTAGACATACTCAAGTCGGCAGGGCCCAGTGAAATTCATCCTAGAATACTTAAAGAACTGGCTGAAGAGATCTCTGACCCAGCAGTGATTATCTTTGAGAACTTGTGGAGGATGGGAGAGATCCTGGAGGACTGGAAAAGGGCAAATATTGTACTTATCTATAAAAAGAGAAATAAGGACAACCCCAGAGAATTATAGACCAGAAAGATACTGGAATAAATTATTAACCAACCCATTTGAAGCATCTGAAGGATAAAAGGATTATAAGGAATAGCCAGCATGGATTTGTCAAGAACAAATCATGCCAAACAAACCTAATTTCCTTCTTTAAGAGGGTTATTGGCCTACCGGATAAGGGGAAAGCAGTAGATGCAATATATCCTGATTTTAATAAGGCTTTTGACACAGTCCCACATGACAGTCTCATAAGCAAGCTGGGGAAATGTGGTCTAGATGAAATTAGTATAAGATGGGTGCATAACTTTTGAATACAATCTTTCAACTAGAGTAGTTACCAATGCTTTGCTGTTCAGCTGGGAGGGCGTATCTAGCGGGGTCCCGCAGGAGTCAGTCCTGGGTCTGGTACTATTCAGTGTTTTCATTAATGACTTGGATAATGGAGTGGAGAGAATGCTTGTAAAATTTGCAGATGACACTAATATGGGAGAGGTTGGTAACATTCAGATAATCCCAGTTGTACATAGCCAACACGTACATCACGCAATGATATCCATGACCAGTGTGTCACCAGTTCTTATTTCATGCCTTACAAGACACTATTTGGCTAAATATTGTGACAGCTGTGTGTTGAGGGTAATCAAGTCACCCCTTAATCTTCTCTTTGTTAAGCTAAATATATTGAGCTCTTTGAGTCGATTGGTATTAGGCAAGTTTTCTAATCATTCTCATGGCTCTTCTCTGACCCCTCTCCAAGTTAGCAACATCTTTCTTGAGTTTTATGCACCAGAACTGGACACCGCATTCCAACAGCAGTCACACCAGTGCCAAACACAGAGGGAATAGAACCCCTTTACTCCCGCTTGATATTACTCTATTCATGCATCTGTGGCATGCAAGACTAATGAGCAGCTGTTGCCCCTGCTCTGCAATCTAGGGTGCCTTACAAAGCCTCGATGAAATAGTTCCCAGCTGGGCCGCTCACAAACAACCTAAGAGCATGCAAGTCACACCCTGAGTGTCTGTGTGTAACTGCAGCCTGCCAGCCACACCTGCGTTACACTCTGGCTCTCACCAGCCGGGTTATACAGCAGGGTGACCCCAGCACACACCCAGTCTTAGATTTTCTCCCAGAAATCTATGTCCTGTACTGCCTCTCCTGGACACTACACATTATATTCAGTCCATTATTCCTTTAAAAGTGTGCTATGCCTACAACTTGTCACCCCAAATGGAATTACCCAGACACTTCTATTCAAATACGCTAGATTAGATAAAATAAAACAAGTTTATTAAGCACAGAGAGATTTCAAGTGAGTCCAAGAAATGAGGCATAAAAGTCAGGAATAGTTACAAAGAAAATAAAATATGAAATGTTTACTAGTGCCTAACTTACCAAAACTGTATCAGATTCAACCAAAGTTTCTCACCACATGCTTTCAGCAGCCTTCCAGACCAAACCGTGTAGGTCAGGCTCACTTCCTCAGTGTCCAGCGAATACTTCCTTTCTCACTTCAGGAATAGTGAATTAGATGAGGAGGTTGGGCAGAGGGTAATTGTCAACAAACACCAGTTTCACTGCACGCACACACACACACACACACAAACCAACGACACAATATTTCCATTGGTAATCAAATTGTGCCTCTAGACAAGGAACAAAAATTGTTGCAGGAGAACTTATTAGAGTCCCACCTTAATGTGTATAAAACTTGTGGTAATACCGGTGTCACTGGGGCTGCTTTCAGGATAATTACGTTGGATAATTCTCCATCAAAGTTATAAAAAGATCAATAGAATTCAACCAAGCCTAACTTGAGTAACGATTGGCTCCAGTTGGCACTAGGACGTGCTTTGTTGGTGGGAGGGTGGACAGTGGCCGGTCTCTCTGCATCTTGGAGGTGGCAACATAAGGGGGCAGGGGTGAATCTGGAGCAGCCCAGAGGGAGGCAAAGCCGGGGGCGTTGGCACATGGGGCTATTGTTTGGGGGCATCGGAAGCAGGGGGGTTTCCAGCGGCAGCGCTCTGGGTCGGGCCAGGCCCCTCACCCTCCACACCATCCTCCATCATCTGCTTGTACTGGCGCTTGAAGAAGCCAAACTGGAAGGAGACAAAGAGGGGAGATGGTGAGAACCAGACGGAGACAGGCTCATGGCCGTGGAGGAGGAGGGATGGGCTGTGGGAACCTCCAAAAGAAAGACCTTTGTCCCTCCCCCACCAGCTGGGAGAGCCACAGGCCCCGCCCCCAGGGTGATGGGCTATGGGGGAGGGGTCCAAGCCCTGCCCCACTCACCTTGTAGAGGGCTGCGGTGATGAGAGCCAGCAGGACCAGGCCCCCCACACTGCTGCCCACGATGATGGGCAGGTAGTTATAGACTTCGTAGCGCTCCACCACCGTCTGCACCTGGGGGAGAGGAACCGTGAGATGGGGATCCAGGACTCCTGGCCCCACCACCCACCCCTGCTCTAATACACCAGACCCCCTTCCTCCCCGAGCAGGGACAGGACCTAGAAGTCCTGGCTCCCAGCTCTAACCACTAGCCGATGCTCTCTCTATCCCGGGCGCTGTCACTCTGGTACCTGGCGCTGGACGAATCCCTCCTTCTGGGTGTATTTCTTCTCCTCGTATTCAATCCAGGCCTTGCTCACCAGACTCACTTTCTGCTGCTGAGTCTGGAACAGAGAAATTCACCGTCCCTGACCAGAAACGACACAAACCAGCCCAGAGCATCATCCCAGAGGGACCCAGAACAATTTACAGGCCGTTCACACAGGAGCAATCCCCTGCCCGGCACTGAGATGCAGTCACCTCTGGGGTGAGGCATGGGGGATGTTCATACGGGGCGGGGGGGATCTCTCGCCTGGTGCTGGGAGGCAGAGGCAGCTCTCGTACCTGGGAGACCCACTGGAAGCTGACGTTCCCTTTGATCATGAACTCCAGCGGCTGCTGCATTTCCAGGGAGGCGATTTTGCACAGGATCTTCTTACAGGTGGCCACGGAGCAGTCCTGGGGGGGTGGAAGGATATCTCCGGGTGAGTCAGGGGGTGTGCTCCCAGCCCAGCCCC